CCCATAGACCCCCCGCCAGCGGACAGCCCCCGCGTGTGCCTTTGCTTCCCACCTGGGCCACCAGCTACTCTGTTCTCACACAGGGCAAGACCTGGGACTGTCCTCCTTTGCGCTCCCATCTTGGAAACCCAACACAACCTGTCCCCCTGGCCCCACCACGTCCCCTCCCTGCCCCACTGCTACGTGGAGCTGATTGCAAGTAGTTGGGTGGCCGATTAGAACGGGTTTCAGGGGACCTGAGGGGTTTGAGGTGGTCCCATTCACAGATGTACTACAGCTGTACCCACCTCTCCCAGGGAGCCCCGGTCAAGGCCCGGGCCCTCACCCTGCAACTGGGGTGTTCATCAGTCCCACCCAAATGGGTGGGAGAAATGGGGCCCTTGCCTTTGAGTGCCCCGAGGGTGGGGTGGGGTCACCCCGTGTTGGCCGCATCCAGTCCATGCAAGACAGGGACTCGGCAGCTGCCTCCCTCGTCTCCCGTAGGGGCGGCAGGAACAGACACGGGGAGCCCAGGCTGAGTGGAGTCCACGAGCTCAGCCAGAATCTCAGCTCCCCCGGGTCTCCGATGCGCTCAGATGCCTCTGGGAGGCCTACCACAGCCCCGACATAGAGCTGCTTCAGGGCCTCGGTGACCAGGGCCCAGGAGCCCACAGCCACCTGCACGCTCTTCCCAAGCTGTGGCCCGACCCCGATGCTGATCTGGGAGCACAGTTCGGGTCCTGGCGGCTGGACTGGACTGGACCGCTCACCTCAGGGACGGGCAGGGGGGACTGGCTGGCGTGCGCACCTTCTGAGAAGCCTTCACCTTGAACTAGGTCAGCACAGGGGTGAGGATTTCACAACAAAGCTGGGATGGTGCTTTCGCAAGGTGCGGGCCTCTATACAAAGGACAGAGGCACGTGTGGGGTAGGGGGGGGTGCCAGCTGGGCACGGGCAGCGGGGCGGCTCAGGCCCCAGGTGACAGCACACACCCACTCACAAGAAACGATGTGTCCGAAAAGAAGACAGACGCGCCAGGTCAGGGCTGGACAATAAGTTTATACACACCCACGTGGGGTCTGGGAGCCGCAGCGGGCTCCAACTCATTTACAAGCATTTCATCACAGTGCCTGCTCCGGGGCCCGCAGGGCGCGACCAGGCTTTCCCTGTACAGGTCCTCACATCGCGATAATGCTTTATTAAAGGGCAGATTAATATGCAGCTTTTGGGGGAACATCTTTACAAGTATCAAAAGGAACCAATCAAGCATCCTATATAAAACTTTCCAGACCTCAGGGGAGGTCTGCGAAGCAGGACAAAGTGCTCTTCACACAGACTCGCAGGACTTTCAAGTATCTGAGAGGCGTTTGTGAATCCCTAAACCATCCTACACGCACGCACCGGGCCGGTGGGGCGCTCAGCAGGGGCCGAGCGAGCGGGCGGGCGGGGGACTC